CTGCAGAAACAACCTTTAAAACGTTAGAAGATCTTTATGGACAATGAAAGCGAGTAAAACGAATCAAATGCAAGAAGTGCTGGCATCCCCAGCAGCAGATGTGATGATGAATGATGTAAAATAAAGTGTAATAACTAATACGATCACATTCAGCTGAAGAATAATTGAAAACAGAAGAGCTTCTGATGGGGGTTAAGATGAAACAGTCGCCTATATGTGATGGGTATGAATAATATCGGACTAAGGATACAATATTTGAGACTTGAAAATATCAGTGGCTATCGCACTGTAGCCAATAGCACTTGAGTGATAGTTGCCCACAGGGACGGTTAGCCGTCATAGACGTCAATTAAGCTAATCATTGGGGGTAATATCAAATGTTTGCTGTCTTTTTTCAGAGGTGCCTAGGAATGAATGGAAAGAATTAGCTGCAACGGCTGAATCCCATATATCGACAAAATAGATTAAAGATGGTTCCCAATAAGACGAGAAAATAAAATCGGTTGGAAGCCAACTGAGGACTGCTTATGGAGAAAACTCAAGCTTTGTACAGCGCTGACCACTATTCTAGTTACTGAGCGTATTAACAATTGTTTGGTTGGACGGAATAGACGAGTTTGCGAGCACTTGACACGTTCAATTACCATATCCCCACAGACGTCATCGGTAACACAGCATTCAGCCATTCTAGTAATTATCAGAATCCGAGATCTTGTACAAAGTTTATCAATGGTCAGTTAGCCCAACGAAGGGGAGAAAGATCGACTACACATAAATCGGAAGAAGATCCAGTTCGTGAAAAAACCATGGTGCGAAAACGATCAGATCAAACTGGATCTCTAATTAGAGAGACCACCTTGTACGTTCTCCTTTGGCGTTAAGTGAACATGGAGAACAACATGAAGGAGGAATTAGACAAAAGATAGACAGAAGAAGGAGAGCAGCTTGGACCATATTCGGGCCTCTCAAGGAAGCTACCGACTAACGGATCCAAAACTCTGTGCTCATATTTTCGATTCAATAGTCCTCCCAGAGCTCTGTTATGCAGCAGAGACATGGACTAACACTTCAACAATGACAAGAATACTGCAAACCACGCACATAGCCTTTGAACCACGTCTTCTGAAACATAACAGGGTCACATAATACCTGATCGGAATAAGAAGCCCGGTTTTTTAAAATATGTTTCGTCTTCGAGACCTAGGCAAACACACATCGATATCGAAATATGAATGCTCAGGTGATATAATAAGAACAGGCGATAGGTGGACGAAAAGAGCGGTAGCGTGGACTTAACGAGATGGGGGCATCTCCTAGGACGACCACCTACAGGTTGGGTGGACCTGTCCGTAACTAAAGTCAAAAAGTTTTACTCGCAGCAGCAGTTGTTTTACAGATCAAGGTATGAGACTCGTACCCACCACCATATTCGTTGTAGCCAATAGCAATCGGATCGTAAAATGGCGGTCGTAGATGCTTGAAGAGAACGCAAGAGCGACTTTTTATTATTGTATCCTGCGGGGAAGATGGAACATCGTCGTCGGTAATGATGTAGAATACTAGGTAGTTGTATGGGAGTACCATATAGGAATATTTGAAAAAGACAGTGGATCTGCCTCAATTGTTGTGTTGTGACCGATGCGACCCACGATGAAGCCCAAATGATATAAGTAATGGTCTCGATTCTGATGCTAGATCTCAAAACAAAGATCACTTGATGTTGAGTGTATACTCGGTGTGAAGTTTTATGGATAGCAGTGGACTTTTGCGTGGAAAGGTGATTAGTTATACGAGGTTCAACGCTCACATTCATTATGTACAACGTTTACGAGGGTAACGACTGCCTCGCTCAAGCAACCTCAAATCCGTGACCTTTAGATCATGATGTTATTCCATTAATACAAAGTTCTCGCTACGGAGGAATCTATCCACAAACCTTAATCGACCCATGAGATCAAGTTGGATTTGCCAAACGCGCTAAGACGAGCAAAACTGCTCTGTGTCATTACATTCAATAGAGTATGTAACCTTTAATGATCTCTTCCTCGGATATAGTTATGAATCTTTAGATTGCATTACGTGACGCTCGACACCTCATTAAGTTAGTCAATCAACAAATTACAACTTTATTCTTTGACAGTAATCTCCACTTCCAATAAGACCCTAGTGGTTTTTTTTGGAATTTTACCAGTTCTATGAATATACCTATCATGAACGGATATGAATAATAAATATCTATGAATGGAATAAATGTAAGGACTCATGTGACGCAGCGGTCGAAGGTTCCCTGTAACACACGCATCGAATCGATCCCTGTGCCCATGACCACCAAGCCTTCCATCCCTCCAGAGTCGGCAAATTGGTACCAGACTTGTCTGGGAGGATAGCAGCGCAGGGTCGATACATCGGCAGGCCACAGCGAGTCACTGTAAAGGCCAGATATGCATTCAATCACCTCCACACGATGCTTAATGAAGTCGAATGCATAGCGCGTCCCTCAGGAATTGAGCAACGCCGAGAGTTTTATCCTTTATTATGAATATAACCACCTTTGCTGAAATCTTTCTATGTTTCTTAACAACGACAAATTTTATTCATCATTACTGTCAGTTTCATTTTTCACTCTTTCACTTTGTGTTTGTATCCATATGTGAGTAAAAATTTCATTCAAAGAAACAAAAAGGATTGCGATTTCTTGATTAAAGTTGAGCTTAGTCCATCAGTGCAACTACTGTAGTAGTTCATTTGTCATATCAAGTATGACGAATATGACTCTGGCAAGGAAACCAATAAAAACGAAGCACTTCTAAGCTTTCAAACTCATATGAACTCTGGAAGCGTCAGCTATAGCGCTCCACAAATGTAATACGTTACCTGTGAGCTCTCCACTCTCACATGTTTATTCTGGAGCAGTTCATAAGATTCATAAGAAAGCTTTTCTCTAGTGTTTACCTAACACAAACGGAAGCAGAACTCAAAAAAGTATGTCTTCTAATCAAAGAAAAACTGAAGTTTTATATATCACCTTTCTTAGCACACATTTCAAAAAATACATACTTGTAGCACGTTACACCGTACCGGTATCGTAGAATGTTAAAATTTTTAAGTGACACCTTCAGTGATAACAAAGACTAAAATTCGCCTATTTGGTGAGAAGATAGTAGATAAGGGCGATCACGATAGCGATGAGGCCTGGATAGATGAACGACTCCAGCGGATTCGACGGTCTTGAAGACCTAAAACTCGAGTTTTCCATCTAGTATGAAAGATTACTTGCTGAATTATCACAAATCATAACAGACGAAAACAATATCACTAACAACATCTCCATCACTAACACAAAAATAAATATAAGCGATAATCTCACAGTAGTGAAATATATCAATGAAGTTGATATGTGCAAATAATCTAGGATACCGAGCAATGTTTAGATCCATGATCTTCAGCAATCCCAGACCTAAGATATAACTTTCTCGCTACTACTGCTTATACTACGAATATGATACAAAACTAGGAAGAAAGGAGAATGCACAAGAAATCGACAATTTCCGATTCCCAGTATAATGACTAGTCGGAAATGGTGCATCCAGTTCACATAGAAGAAGCCAGAATTAGTTCATTTAAGTGCATAAACCAAGGAGCATGTAACGCAATCGTAGTGATGCTGCTCATTACGAGCATGGTGCTGGTGGGATTTCGCTTCGGGCTCAACAAGCCTATCATCACTCTTCGAGGTCGGGAAATAAACTTGTCTGGACCCTACTTACTCCCTCAATTCTACGTAGGAACGTACTAGCCCACGCCTCGTGTGTTAATCGACTCGACCAGCGTTCAACGACATGCGTAAAGAAGACGAAATCCTCAAGCAGCAGCCGAAAACACCCATTTCTATCAACTTCAAGGTACAGTGACGATGAGTTATGTGGTAAAGGTTAGTCTCAAATTTAATCGGTGAAACTTATTACAATGTAGATTAGTCGGAGGAGTTACGAAGTTAGATAGTGTTAATTGTGGTATTTGTTTATCTACCTGATTCACGACCCAGTTTTTCGTTTGTTTTAAACATAAAACATTGTTAAACAAAACAGTATTGCTACCTCTGCTCGTTATCGCTTGGCTGAGATGACCATGACTTCTTGTCGTACGAATACGATTGCTTCTCGTCCTGAACTACTTAGGTGGAAAAATATATGAGGTATGGCACCTCTATCACTGAGCCATCAGTAAGCATACGATCATCATAGGAAGTTTTAAAAAAAATTTCAGAAACAAAACGCTCATGGTTCTTGAATGTTCTCTAAGTTTTAATCCTCTGATGGTCCTACCGCGAAACACGTATGAGAAGACAGTTCTGCTCTCTTAGCGTAACCATGGCGGTTTTGCACTAACCATGACAAGGGTTTCTCTGACATATAGCTACCACCTTTTCTTGAATTATAATAACTTAATTTCAATGATGCTGAGATATTTGTAAAACTCCAAACCGCAGGTGTATGCGGTAGGGAACGAACGCTACTGGGTTCGTTGCCGATTTAGGGCCCCCAGTTAAATCTCGCTGAAGGGTGACTGCTGTGGCAAAGATCGATAGAACTAGCTGAGAGACAGGTGAAACGAAGAACCCGCATGGTGTGGTGGTGAACGCGTTACTCCCCGGAAACGATAATAGCGCGTTCGTTCCCCACCGCACACACCTGCGGTGCGGAGCTTTGCAAATATCTCAACATCATTGAAGTTATATTTCGCAATATACCCTGCGATTAAAAAGTTGTAGGCAGTAAATGATAAGTTAAAATTGTGATTACAATAACATAGCCTTACGCAAAATAAAATAATAAAAATGAAAACAAGTGAGACAAGTGAAGGATGCATGCTAGTTGTTTCTAGGTATTTTCAGACTTCTAAATAATAATCTTCGTCTGATAGTGTTTCATGAGAAGGTTTCTGGATGCTGAACGCTCTTACTCTAAACCCTCCGGAACCCGCTGTAACGAACTCGAGGGCTACACAAACCTTCTAACGTTATCATCCATACTGACCTGAACTATATCACCGATATAGTACTCTTCTCTCATCTTTCGTGCGTCCGTAGAATGTCCGACATCCTCAAATGCTTCCGTTGCGTCCTGACCAGCTTGTTCCAGTAACACTTCACAGCCACCAGGATGCTGAATTCGTTTTCGCTTCAAATAGGAAACTCTAATTGAAAAAATATTCTATGCAGCCCAAAGTATCCTCGGAAAATGTTAATACATACAAGATTACACATGATGGTAATAGTTTATATAATTGCTACATTGTTAAAAATTCGTAATAATTCATGGTAATAATATCAACAGGGCGCGGGTTGCGCAGTGGTCAGAGGCGCCCAATACACACGTGGAATGGATCCCCGCGCCCGTGGCCTACCGAGTCTTCTATTTCTCCAGGATCGGCAAGTTGTTACTAGAATTGTCTAGGAGGATAGCAGCGCTGGCTTGATACATCAGCAGGCCACAGTGAGTCACTGCAAAGGCCAGGTATGTATTCAATCACCTCCAAACGACGATTAATGAAGTCGAATGGATGGCGCATCCCTCATGGATTGATCAACGCCGAGAGCTTTGTCCTTCAATACTATCAACGTTATTCGTAAAGTCTTTAGGCAAACAATTTTGACCAACAACAACACGTCCTACTTTGTTTCATTATGACTAGAGATACTAATAAGTTTAACAAGTCGGTTTTTTAAGGCCCATTTTGAAAGTTCAAACAAAAACTTAAAAGTATCTTTCGATCTACACCATTTCTTTTTTGGTGCACAGTGCTATAAAATGCTTGTTTTTCGTTTTTCATAAAGGAGTCTTCATCTCTGTAGCATACTTGACCCATCAATAAGTTCTATCTTATCACTGAAACTGATGAACGAATGTTTAAGAAACGCTCGAGTACTGAACCAAAAACTGAATTTCGTCTCATAGTGGGCTGTTGTAAATATTGCGAATATCAACCACAATGATGCTAAGATATTCGCAGAACTCGGACCTCGGGCCAGATCGAACCACGATTTCGCTTTCCGGGGTGTCGCGCATTACACACTGCGCCACGGAGGCCCTTGCTCTGCATTTCTTTCAGGTAGTTTCCTACCTATATATCTATATATCGTAAATGCCTTCAAGAAAAGACATCTGAAAAACTTTGATTCTGTTTTCTATAGATATTTAGCAACGTTAATTTTGAAATAGAAGACAATCCGACTTTTATTTCGGTTTAAAACGCGTGACGATTACCATTGCCGTCTACCAGATCTATTTGGAAGAGAACTAGAAACATTATATTGAAAACTTTTTTATTTACCACCAATAAAAATAACTAACTTCATCCAGAAATTTCGTCACATCATAGACCTTATTGCCTATCACAATCCATGTGGACGTATTGTTGTTGTGCTCCATGACCTGCTTTCTCGTGAATTGAACAGCCATCTCACTTGGTAGCTTAAAAATGGCTTACAATAGCTTGAGAAAAGAGGAACTTGCAAATGACATATAGTAAACGTCAGCTTGTTCGCGAATAAGGAATAAAATAACACCTCGCGTTTGTTCAACACGAATACGAAGAATTACTTGATCAATGCCGAGGTTAATAAAAAGTCGGTCGTGGGAGTAAACGGAAATAGTAAAAAGCGCAATGTAATAAGTTCAACTGTCTCAGGTTCGCATCCATCTTCTCAGTCGGTGGAAAATCTTAGGCCTAGAAATGAAATGTGTGGCTAAACGGATAAAACAATGACGAGTCTTTACTATCGACGATGCTGAATTCCCAAGCCCAACATATGCTGAGTAATATCCATTAAAACCTCTACAATGGTTTAAGAGCTCAGAGTGGCAAAAGTGTGTTCAAACTATAAAACTACGTTGCACAACAGGATATGTACCCCCTCAGAAATTTTACAAAACTTATGAGCAACCGTTCCAGAAGGAATCCAAACCTTATCAAGGATCATCCGCCACACTGCCAGATAGTTGTAATGTAATAAATCTTCCTGCATGAAGGATGGTGACTCTCTATGGTGATTACTAGAAAATGTCTCAGCATGGCTATCTCAGAACTCATAAAGAAAAAAGACTTATCAACGACCACCGATAAATGAGATTGGAGACAATAATTGAAGTGCTGTTTATCGAGAATTTAATAGTAAATTGATTCAGTTTCTTAACAAAGAACAAAGCCGACCAACTTCGTTCATTCGCAGTTTTCCTGACAAGCATAGAAGAGGTTACTATTATAGTCTTTATTTACAAAAGCTAAGTTCCTGGCGATTTCGCCTTCCTTTTCCTACAACTTCATTAAGTTCTCAAAGCAGTTTTTTCCTTACAAAAATCATACAACCGGTCGCCTTAAGAGCCGATCTTTTCAATCGGAATAATGGAGTTGTAGTTGCAAAGTTCCTACTTACTTGGATGCTTGTATGGCCCGTCTTAACTGGTTGTGCGGGTTCTGGCATAATCTCCATCTTTTCGGAGTTTTGCTAGATTAACCATTGTGGTTCCCTGGAGTCTCGAGGTCAGCCTGACCAAAGTCTGCTCCAGGTCATCAACACCAGGTAGTCCCCTCGTGGATCAGAGAAAGATTTACCACCATGCGACTAATTTGATAGCAGGACGATGGTGAATCCTGGTGTTGGATTACTCTTAGCTAGGCTTCCTGATAAAAACGCCGGACTCCTCAATTTGGCAGACTCTGCCAGGGAATGAAACACCTTGATGCACCCCCAGTCCGACACCCAGGAACACTTACTTCCTAGCCACGATGAGGCGTTAAACCGTTATGAGGAATTGCGAAGTTCAGGAAAAACAGTTCGAGAATCAGAACAGATCCGAAGCAATTATATAATGGATGTAAAATTTAAGCAGAAAAAGAGAAGTGACAATAACCTGACAAAAAAGCAAGTTGAAGAGTTTAGAAGCGTGAAATATTACAACCGTTGAAGAAACACTGAAGGAAAAACAGTAAAAAAAATTTCCGCTCACAGTAGTTCAACTGAACTGAGTGACGAAAAGAAACACGTTAGTATCAAAAGAAAAAAAGTAAAACCATGTTGTGCGAAAATCAATGTCGCCTTCTAATCTACAGTTTCAAATCCATTTATTACAACTTACAGTGAACTTCATTTATTCATTAGTACTTGGATACTTGGATGGTCCCTCCTAACTGGTTGTGCGGTGCCCATTATCATCTCCACTTTTTCGGCATTTTCCTGGCCAAGCCATTGTGGTTCCTTGGAGTACCGAGGACAGCAAGGCCAAAGTCTGCCCCATGTCGTCACCATCACAAGCAGTCACTGCCCCTTGGATCAGAGGAGGATTTTCCACCATGCGACTACCTTGAAACCAGGACGGTGATGGATCCTGGTACTGAATAACTCTTAACTGGACTTCCTATTGGGAACGCCGGACTTCTTCCCACTTTGGGAAATCTTGCCGAGAGGTGAACCCCCGCTGTACATCGCAGCCCAACACCCAGGAACACCTCGCAGCCTCGACGAAGCGGTGAACCGTTGGGAAGAATCCATTAGTTATTAACAAAATTACAAAACCACAAATTCACTTAAAGAAACCATTAGGATCCATATTGCCAATAAGAAACCCATTGATTTCAACATAGACGACTTCACAAACGACTTGGTTGTTAGCTTTCTCTTTAGCAAATAAATTTGAAGGTGCTTGGAAACGCCGCCTGTTGAGACGACCGGTTCAGTGACTGAGGTAGACTTCGATCTGACCGCTAACATTACTGATCTTCTCGTGTCAATTCCATGCAACAATAATTTCCCACATAGCGCCTCGCCACGATTCGGGAAATCACATCATCCAATGATAACGTCATCTTAGCACAAAAAAATCAAGCTTTTCAATCATTGTTAGCAACGGATGCACTTCAGCTAACATTTCCGAGTGCTCATTGTTGATGGTATGGAGTCTCAAGTGAGCCACTTTACCTTCAAGGTGGTTTTCACATAGAATATGGATCTTTTAACATTTTTTCGTGAGAAACTCAAAACTCTAGGACCTCACTTTTTCGTTTTCCAGTGGCTCAAATTTGCCATAAATTGAAGTGAAGGTAAAACCGCCAATATATGTGCGTTCTAAAATGATATTCTATAGGATTATAAAGATATAATTCCATAATCCAATCTTAAAAAACATGGGCAGCATTCATTTCCGACTAGTGCAATGTGTAAGCAGCGGAAAGCGACTGCCTAGCAACGAATAGGTACAGCTGTAGAAATGAGATCTTTGCTGGTTGGTAACAAATAACATAAAGTCGAAGATTAACATCAGTCTTTTCTACAACAATATCTATGAAATATTCAATACTTTAATGTTGGTTCTTGTTGACTCCAACCACGACAAGTATGTCCTGTTCAATTTTAGGCTCATTTTACGGCTAAAGCTACGAGTTTCGATGAGAGAAAAATCGTCAGATCTCTTCTTTTCTCTGGTTCAAGCAGTAAATTTGACTAAACGGGCAGCTATTACAGCATTAGCTACTACATTATTACAGCGTCACATATTAGTTATTACTATTGTTATTGCTATTATTATTATTATTATTACCATTCTTCTTCCTCTTATTATTATTATTATTATTATTATTACTATTATTATTATTATTATTATTATTATTATTATTAATTACTGCTATTAGGGCGCGTGTGGCCCAGTGGTTGGAGGTGCCACTGCGACACACAGGTGGAATCGATCCCCGCGCTCATGGCCCACCAAGCCTTTTATCCCTCCGGGATCGTCAAACTGCTACCATACTTGTCTGAGAGGATAGCAGCACTGGCTCGATAAATCGGTAGGCCACCGCGAGTCATTGTAAATGTTAGATATGCATTAATTGAACTCCAGCGATACTTAATGAAGTCGAATGCACAGCACATCTATCAGGGATTGATCAACGCCGAGAGCTTTATCTTTTTTTTTATTCTTTAGTTACTGCTATTGTTATTACTATCACCATCCCACGGATCTCCCTCATACAGTGATCTTATACTAGTTAGCCGCGAGGCAATGTAGCGCGTCCTCAAGTGGCGAATACGGGGTTAATCGCGGAACGAAAACGACCTTTGCTTCCTTGAGACAATTTGCTACTGATAATCTGCTTCGCAGGTAGATCGAGTGGATGGACTCCTTGCTTCTGTTGCGCCGATTTGGCATGTACTTTCTGTGTTTACGAGGCATATACATGCATGCGCGTGTGGGATTGTTTTCGTTTATAAGAATTGTATTCTACAAGTCAATTCAGCCAAAAGCCTGTAATCGAGTGAGTAGGAAGTACATGGATGGCAGTAAGGAGTCGCTTCACACAAACAAGCTCCCTCTCTACCCTGGGAGAGATTACAAAACTACCTGTGAGTACGCCCAGCCTCAACGTTCAACGCTTAGCAAGCTATACGTTTGCTGAGTAGAACAAGTAGGGAGGAAGTTGCTAAAATGTCAGAGGCATTGTAGGAAACCTAAACCTCGAAAGACCAAAGTCACGATCTGTACCTTCAAATCACAGTCACTTGCATCTGAATCCTTGATAGAGGAGGTCGTGGTGGCGACGCCAATCGAGCAGCTGAAACGAGAAGACGCCGGCTACAACACCGATGAAGAACTGTTCCTGGAAATGTGGGACAGTAGAGGAGTCCGAGGTGTCGACATTCTCGTCATCACGAGATTGGCCATGATCATCAATCCATTCAACAACTAACAACTCGAATCGAACAAGCAGGGTGAGCAACTGTCTGAGTTCCAAATGACGACTAAGACCACTCAAGGTAACTCACAATTCCACAAACCCCACTCGCAACTTGCTGTTCTAAAATTCCACAATGGACCAAACTATCGCCTCGTTCGTGCAAGTTTTCATTACTCGTTGAATGGACAAAAAGCCGCTAAACCCAGAAAACGAAATCCTGAAACCACCATTCAGTTCATTAAAAGGCCTTGGAAAGATGTCAATCGACGACGAAGAATACATTGGGCTCATTAAACATGTTCACGTTAGCGCTTTGAAAGTTGAGAGTTTGAAAGACTGTAGGAGACATGTCTCCAGAAACACTGACGTCCGCTCTTGCAAAACAATGAGGACAGGAAGTAAAAGATCTTAAAGCGAGAAGATCAGCGATTATGGTCGAAGGTGGAGAGCTTCGAAAAAGCATTCATAAATCCCACAAAAACATCGCCAATTAAAACACCAAGATGGTTGCACTCCGACGCTAAGACGGAACACTTACAGCGTCCAGAAAGGCAACGGAGCAAATCATAACAACGGAGCAAATCATAACGACTACTCCAATTTATTAATAGCCACGTCCTCCTGCCTTCATATTCAATAAAGGAGTATGAATACGTCGCCCAACGGTTCTCCCCTCCGAAATGCGACACCCTGTTTCGTCGGTGAAGAATGAAACAACACCAGATCCGGACGA